TTATTCAGTGGTATATGGGAATTTAAGGCACCAGTCCTTAAGGGCGAGAGGTGCAGGAGAGGGGCTCTGGGGCTGCCAGCAGCAATCACTCCCTTGCAGCATCCTGGTTGTTACAGTGTTGGTGCGTCATGCTGTCTTAAATGTGGCTTTTGCCTGCTGGGTGCAATGGAGCTCTCCGCAGAGCATTGCATTTCCAGAGAGCTACAAACAGAATTGGCTAGTTTAAGAATGGTTTTTTTTTTTTCTTTTTTTTTCTTTTTTTTTTTTTTTTTTTTAAGATTTAGCAGTAATTTAGCAAGAAAGACCCTTATACTTTATAGTTACTGCTTGCCATAGAGAACAGTGTTGTAATTCTGCCTGGGTTCCCTTTGAGGTAACCTCAAAATTGACCGCTGCAGATTTGGGACAAAAAGCTGCACTACATGTACAATTAATGGGAAGACTGGAAAAAGGCAGTAAGATTTTTGTGGTCAATATTTACAGTTCTGGGCTTTATAATGTAAAGTAAAAACTGTATTGTTTTACAGAGAAGCTCCATTATAGGTCAGCTCTTGTCTTAAGCAGCCACTTGAAAGTGCCCCTTTAGAATTCCAGTACAGTTTGCCCTGATCGTTAGTTAAGGCCCATTTCTGCCACGTCTGTGGTGTTTCACAGCTCCATATGGTGGTTGCTTAAGGCTGATTTAAGAGTAAACAAGAAGTACAGGATTTCAGTCCTACAAAGGTATGGCACTGAGTCTACAGAAGCGAAGAAATGCAGAGCCGGAGTATTTCCTTTATTTCACACTTAGTATGTTAGGAATCAAGCGGGGAGTCTCACTTTTTGTTTTGTCCCTCTTGCTGGTTATTTTAATACTTTTTCCAAGGCAACTTTGTTTGCAATTACTGATGCTCTTCTGAAAAAGAAATTTCTCCACCTCCTGTACACTCAGTACTTGCCACAGGGAGAGCTTCTGGCTTTGCCCCAGACTGCCTAGAGTCTGCATGCTTCTACAGGAAACATCTCTGGAGTGGTGAAGAACATTTTTGAGCATATGAGAGAGAATGTCAGGTTGAAGCACCACAAATAATTTATAGTTCTCAGTTCCTGTGAAAGTTACCAGTGCTTCCAGTTTCTTCCTCCCACCCTTATTTGCAGTTATCAGTTATAGAATCTTGACTTAATATTGTTAATTGCATAGTAAACAGAACAATATTGTTTGCCTCAAGACAGATTACCATTTCTCATTACAGAATTCTCATAGACCACAAATCATCGATACCATCTCCACCAGTTATAATAAAGTTTATCTTCAATCTGATAAAAAGCATGTACTGAATAATAACTGTTGCTCTTATTGTAAGTGGTTTGAAAACATGCTTTTTTAAAAGCTGGGTAGCACTGGAGTTACGATTCTGAGCTTGGCCTAGCAAAGCGAGGTGAGAGGTGTGGACATAAATGGTCAGATCTCCAAATGCTGCGGTGCGTAGGGTTGCTCTTCATAACAGATGAACCTCTTGCTATTGGCAGCCAACTAAAACCACCAGTCCCATTTCTCCTGTGTTTATGTGAGTTGATACTTGAACCTGATATTTGGTGTGTTATGCATTTTCATCTTCAGCTTATTCATGAAGAACTGAAGTGCATTTAGATGCTGGCAGAAAGTTTATCACCTCAGTTCAAACTGCAGTGACCCTCAGTGGTCTGAAGGCTTCTGGCTCCATCCCCAAGATAGGTAATTAGACCTGCAGAATGGCAAGCACAAAAACTAAGTACTGGCTAAAATCAGGTCTCGTTTTACTTATCTCCCAAATCCTCTCCACCTCCCATAGTTCACCACCTCTTGAAGAAACTACTGATGAAGATGAAGAAGAAACTATTTCACACAAGCCACCAGTATCCACAAAGGGAATAACATGGCAGAAGTGTAGTTATAATAATGCTTTTCAACTATACACAGTGTATAAAGCGAAAATCCTTCAGTAGTGAATTTCCAATTTTCCCCATTGAATTTAGATGCTCTTTAAAAGTCCAACTTTTTAGGCCTAAAAGTTTTTGAGTTATATGTATGCAGATGGGAGCGAGTGAAGCATTACATAAACGTGCTTAAGAATAATATCATTCCAAATGCTAGCTTCAGCTGAATTTTGCATTTTCCTACCAATTTTGGTTAAGATCAGGCTTAGCCATGAAGTTCAGCTCTAAATACAAACTTTCTCAAAGCCTAGCTCTGCTCTTGGCTCAGGATAGCACTGGCTTGGTAAGAAATGCTAAATCTCTGAGCCAGTTTTAAAATTCAGGGACAACTGAAAGACAACTGAATTTCAAGACAACTGAAAATGTTGTGCAAGTCCAGCAGGGTTTGGGTCTAGGTGTGTGAGACTGTGATTGAATCAGGTCCCAGTTTAATTCTGTGGGGAATGAAGGATTCAGTAGGATTCTGTCAGAGTGGAACCCCAAACTCATTAAAATATTACAATAAAGTAATTAATGCACATGGCCACTAGACACTCTTAAAATGTAAATTTCACAGCTGTAAGAAATTAAATTTGTTTAAAAATAACAGAAGGCTCAAGTACAAATTATGGAGTAAAAGCCTATAAAATTTCAAACTTGGTTTTAAGGCACAATTTTTTTTTTTATTTTATTTTTTTTACTAGATCATTTACTTTAGCACTAGCATTCAGAAACTGAATTCTTTGTCTGTGTGCTCCTCTGAAGTTGTAGCCAGGCAGCGGTGCAGAACTAGTGAGCCAGGAAGTTTTCTTACTCGAAGGTCAGAAGAAGAGTACAAGGCAAATTTTTCTTAAAGCGCATCTCCCATCACAATCCTGTCTTGTCTTCAAGAATTTCCAGTCTTGCAGCTACGGCAACAAATATTGTGAAGTTCATTGCATGTTGGTGTGAGTAGTTGGCACAGCTGGGAAAAGAGGTTTTTCTCTGTTGACACCAGGTATCAAAAGGGGCTGGGGCCACTGCTTTGTCACTACATAAACATTTTGGTTGACGGTGAAGAACTTGAGCAATTTGAGTTAAGTAAATGCCACTCCACATCAGAGAGGCTAAGAATATTAGAACTCTGCAGAGTTCAGGATGGAGCAGACGGGATGCTGCAGGGAATGCCGCGCCTGTCTTCTAAATGTAGAGGTCCAATCCTAGATTCTCTGACACTTTCTCACCCACCAGTGTTTACAGACGTGGGTCTGGCTGTAATGCAAGGAGAGACTTTGACTAACAAATATCCCACAGTGTATGTCAGTCTGTTTACATTTGAAGCAACGTTGAAATACAGGGTTCCACACAGGCTTCTTGGCAAACCAACTTCAGCAGAGTACTTGCTTGGTTGAAGGAAGGAATTTTGATCAGAATATATTCCAGATGAGTCCTGTTGGAGGTCTACTGTAAAATTTATGCTACGTGCATAACTATTAAAAAGTTTGGATTATGACCCCTCTAATGTTATTTTAATGCTATTTTTTAAATGTAATTATAAATCAAATTATATTTGAGATCTGAAGCTGACAGTAGTGAGCTGGAACACTCTAAGAGCTGCTTTAAAAATAACCCCTCTCAAACTTTATTAGTGATTTCAGAAGGAGATGTGCAAGCAGGCTGGCCAGCTTTATCCACACTGGTTTTGTCTGAGATGAGAAAACTAGCTAAGTGTCTGCTATATTCTGGTTTCCTGAGACATAATACAGAGTTTTTCATCTTTACCTGGGAATGACATTTCCGTAGTCAGGAAACATTGGCTTCTTTGAGCTAAAGCACAAGGCATTAGCTTTGTACTTTCTCCTCTTTGTTTTCTCTATTGTAACTCATTTCTCTGAAGGTTAAGATTTCTAAACACTGATCAGACACACACACACACACACACACAGAAGAAAAAACAAGTATAAAAAACAGGTCATGCTATAGTGAGAAACCCAAGCAACCATAGGAAAGAAATGTGCTTAGACATTGTGACTGTAATTGTGGTCAATGGAGTTTGCTCATCTG